ATTGTTTCTGTTTGTTAAAAAATATTTACAAGTTTCACTGCTGACTGAAAAATTACTTCCAAGTGATTTCATCTTATTATATTTTAGCCAAGAATTTTGAATTTGTCTAGTAAATCAGATAGTTGGAAAGAATAGATACAGTTTGATTTTCACCGTCAGTCTATTTTACTGTTCAAAGAAATTTTACAAGTTTTAAAATAAGTGGGTTAAATATGATTCAAAAACCGTATAGACACTTTAAAAATCGTCATTAATATTAGATACGGCATAATAACTTAAAGTATTCTCAGTTAACGCTGATCAGAGTTGCTCAGTAACTTAGTGGTAAAACAGTATACGCGCCAAGCAGATGTCGTAAGTTTGAGTTTTTTCTTCGAGCCTAAGCTCTAGTCAACAGTGAGAAATAAATAAGTAAACAAGCAATTTCTTACGGGCAGTTAAGCTTTGTTTAGTCTTAAAATTCTACTTTTTTTTCAACTTTTTTTTTTTTTTTGTCTTTTTCACCCAAGTTTTACCTTTGTTTTGGCACCGAATATGGCGGTATAACTGATATACTACTAATGATATACTACTAATTAATGGAGTGATAAATTTAGTTGCATTTTTACAATTTAGAAAAATAAAAGACAAAAGAAATAAAAGTAAAGTTATTTTTATCTGAGAATTTCTCTTTATTACTTTTTTTTTTTTGCATTTAAATAGTCTCAATCTTATCTGTAAGCAGAAACAGACTAGTACTTTTTTTTTGAAATTTACTAGTATAATTTAAGCTGAAAAGTAGCTTTAAATGATAAGCAGATTTTTACCATTTGGCTACTAAGTGCTGCGATGCTAAACTTTGTCAGTCGACTAAACTATTTAGTTTTTTCTATGTCTCTCTGTTTACTTGTAATCACCTTAACAAAAAAAGTTACTTCACTTTATTCACTGTATTACGAAAAAATATTACAGATGTCAGTTTACTGGTCAACCTAAATTACAGTTTATTTCTGTTACAGAAACCAAACTGGTTTTGACAAAAAAAGAAAAAGATATTTGTTAAGTTTATGATTAGCAACTTTACTTTACTATTTGTCTTAGAACTTATAAAACCATTTTTGTCAAAGTGAATATGACTAACTTAAAAACAATAAAATGTTGCTTAATGTTTATTGAAAATCTGTCATCTAAATCATGGAGTCACATGAGCAAATAAGGTTGAAATTTTTGATGGTAAAAGGAGAAAGCATGACCACAGTATAATTTTCGTAATAAACAACAGTGTCGTCACTGAAAGCAAATGAACAGATTAAACAACATTTGCAATTTTTCACAATCTTTGATATTGTTTTAATAAAGTTGAAAAATAAAGAAAATAAAAAACCAAAAACAGAATAAAAATTTTTAAGAATTTTTTTTTCATCAAAAAATAACAACAAGATTAATGCGCAACTATTTCTTAAACTGAATTAGAAAAAAAATTCTTGTAAATAAGACAGTTGTTTATTATCAGTTTCAAAAATATATGTCAATAAAAAGTTATTAAGTCATAAAAGTTTAAACAATGTTAGACAAAAAAAAAAAAAAAAAAAAAAAAAAAAAAAAAA